TTTTTTAATAAATTATACCTATTAATATAATTTTATTGTAATTATTATTATTTACAATAAATAATATTATACTCATTTTTAATCCAAGGGTAAAAGTGTAAATTATATATTCATCTATTAAATTTTTAATTTTTATCTATCATTAAATTTAAAGTAAATATTTAAATTAAATTATTTTTAAATTAATATTTTATAATTTTTTTAATTAAAATTTATATATTTATCTTTTAATTATAATAATTATAAACTTTTTTTAACCTAAGGGCAAAATAGTAATCTTACACAATTATTAATTAAAAAATTTATTTTTATCTATCACATCAATCAATTCACTCAAACTTTCACAAATTTTCTCTACATTTTCCACTCACTTTCCCTTAATCCAAACAACCTCACTTTCCACTCACTTTCCCTTCAAATCCCTCCTTTTCCACTCCGCCTTTTCTATCTTCAAATTCAAACAAAGCATAAATGCAAAGACTTAAACATAATCTTTTTTTATTTATGCAAAAGTTTAAACTATTAAAAAATTAATTAACAAAAAGAAAATTAATCTCTCCGTTCTCATATTTTGTACCTGTGCATGGTAAAAAAAAAAACCCAGCAACTCCATTACCTCATCCATCACCTTCCTCCTTTCGTTTCCACATTCACGTGTCCTCTCAAATTCTCCTTCTCCTTGCCGAAATTAAAAAAAAAAAATGTCTAACCCGATTCTCCCCGAAGAACTCATGGTAGAAGTTTTTTCTCGTGTTCCCGTGAGGGATCTGATACGATTCAAGTGCGTTTCCAAGTGGTGTTGCTCCCTCGTGGTGGATCCCAAATTCATCAAACTCCATTACCAAAGGTCCTCCAAAAACGCTCACATCTTGTTAACGTTCAACAATAACGGCTACGAAAACCAGTACTGCGCTCCCTGTTCCGTACATTAATCTTTCCTCGAGAATCCATCGTCGACGGTCCACGATTGCCACCCATTCAAGCACCGTTACATACCCTTCAGTGTGTGCAACGGGTTAGTTTGCTTAATGGATCTGGACCGTGGCGACGAGTCCCTGGAGTTTCGCTTCCGGTTCTGGAACCCAGCCACGAGGCTCATATCGGAACTTTCCCCAAGCATAACCTTCCTTTGGAGGGATTACGACGTTGGGGACTTGTTTAGGTTTGAGTTTGGGTACGATGCATGGAGTGATACTTACCAAGTTGTTCTCTTGGAAACTAAGTCACACAAAATGAATGTTAGGGTTCACTTCATGGGTCACACTAGTTGGAAATATGTCTTAACTTGTCCCGCTTTACCCATTTTGGGTTGGCATGGGGTGTCTTTGGGTGAAAGTGTGAGTTGGTTAGCTCTTCCCAATTTGGATTCCGTTGGGAGAACCGTTGCTATAAGTGAGTTGGTTATTTTTTCATATGATATATATAAAGAATCAAACATATATATGCGTATTTGTCCACGCCTAGTGCCCTTTGTGAAGTGCCTCCTCATCCACCTGCCCTTAGGGTTTTGAAGGGGTGTTTGTGTCTTTCTCACCATCGTGGGATCACCCACTTTGGCTTTTGGCTAATGAGGGAGTTTGGGGTTCGAAAATCATGGACTCACTTGCTCAATATAAGCTCTGATCAGCTTCATATTCATGGCTACATCAATGGCTACCCTTTTCATCCAGTGATTTTGTGCATGTCTGAAGATCATGATGCGGTTTTGCTGGCCAACGGGCGACCCGGGATGTTTGTTCTGTATAATAGGAGAGACAACAAAACGGATCTTTATGGAGATCTCAACGAAAAGAAGTTTCAATTTTTGTCTTATATGATTATTGTCAAAGCTTGGTTATTCCGTATTGATGCTGAGCTCCCCCTGCATTTGCTTATAGAAGTTCATGCTGAGTTATGTAAGTGGCTTCACAACCTTGGATTTATGTTAAATTATGTAAGTGGGTTTGGAAAGATAATGTGTTTTGCTGCATGAGTGTGTTAATAATGTGCTTCAATTATTCCTTTTTCAGGTAGCAAGGGTTTAGTGCTATTGCTGTGGGTGCATTTTTGTGGGACTTGAGTTGGCCACATCCTGTAGTTCAACTCAAATATATTTTTGGTGTAAGAAAAAGAAATCTAAATATATTTTTCCTTCATTGATGTTCATCTTAGTTTATCATAAAAGAAGGGGGTAATTACTGTAGCAACAGTTTTTCACCTCATTTCTAGGTACATTCAGAATAAAACATTTTTAGCCCTTTTGATCTCTTAATCTTATTTTGGTTCTTCCGAGAGCAGTAATACATCTTGTTACTTAAAAATACTCTGATTTGCAATTCTACGATTTGTGTACTGATGTGAGGATTATTATTGTAGTTGCGTAATGATATTTTTATGTTACTATTATTATATTTATGATTTATGAAATATGGTTTAATGCAAGGACGGAGCCAAGGAGGGACCTACGGGTGCCACGGCCCCCCCAACAATTTTAATTTTTTTTTATATTTTTTTTATATGCTTTTGATACTTTAATTTTCATTTATTATAAATTATATATTATTTATTCTCGGCCCCCCAGTATTGAAATCCTGGCTCCGTCCCTGGTTTAATGGATTTCATTTTATTCCCTTGTCTTTGGGGTTTTATTTTGTTTGGTAGTGTGACAATTTTACCTATTCTTCATAGTTCGATATTCATGAAGTGGTGTTTGCTTGGAAAGATCTTCCGTATTATGAGAACTCTTGGGACTCAGTTGCTGCTATTTAAGAGATGGATGCATGACTGTGCTGTTGAACTAGTGTTTGAGGTTTATCTTGAATAGAATGATTGTTTATTGTTATGAGATAGGTATGTTAAAACTCCTGCTCATATGGCAATATTAAATTGAAAATCATTTTTTAAGGTCCTATGATATCCTGGTTTTATCCAAGTAATACTAATACAGAAAAACCAAAAACACCATTATTGGCATGGTTAGACTAATTTAATCATGGTAATCCTTCCTACTGATAAAAAATGAAGTTAACTTAAATCAATTTTTTAAAAAAGATTCTTTTAAATTTGCAAGAAATAGTTTGTTTCTGAACTATAGTCCTAAGCTCTAACAGGCAAACATTGTTGGAATTTTAAAAACAGTAATGGCATAATATGTAATACTACAAAATCACTATTTTACATCATTACATCTACATCAATTCCTCACGATCTAAATAAAAAACGTCGATGATAATTTTATAAATAAATTGAAAATGTAATTCAGACAGGTGGAAAAATCGAATGACAATATTATTCTACGTCGAGTTTTGCATTTAATCGATGTAAAACGGAAGTCAAGTTTTCGCGGGCCTTCACCCTCTCAACAGTCAACACAACACTCTGGTCGGCACTGTCGCGGGCCTCTCGACACACATCGCCCTCTCCAACCTCTCCCTCCCCTCCGACTACGCCGTTGCCATGGTCCTCTCGCGCCTCGCCCACGGCCTCTCCACCAAAACCCTAGCCTCCCGCTATTCCCTCGAACCCTACCTCGTCTCCAAAATCACCAACATGGTCACGCGCCTCCAAAACCACCCAGGCCTTCGAGGAACTCACCTCCCCCCCCAACATGTGCGGCGCCATCGACACCACACCCGTCCACCTCCGCTCCAGCCCTAACCCGAACACCTACCACTGCCGCTACGGCTTCCCCTCCCTCCTCCTCCAGGTCATCTCCGACCACAAGAAGATCTTCTGGGACGTCTGCGTCAAGGCCCCGAGCGGCATGGGCACCCCTGCCCAGAACCTCTTCGACGGCATGCTCATGAAGGGAAGGTCGGTGGTGGTGGAAGCCATTGCTCTTCTGAGGGAGTCAAGGCTTCTTGATATTGTAAATGCGGTGAGGCATTATTCTTATGTATTGAGAACTTTTCTTTGGCATGTTGGATCCTGACATGCCAGTATATTTTCCAGATAATTTCCTGGCTATGCATTTTCCAAACTTGATTCAAGTGGCAGGATTCTTGCTAACATTGCAGGAAATTTTCTGTTGAAAATATACATGGCACATTAGAGTGATGATTACTACTACATTCGCTTCATTGTTTTAAGTTCCTACATGTACTGTTGAAAATTTTCAGTTGTTAATTGTTATTCATTATCATCTGTAATTAGAATTGTGTGTTGGATTTCCAGTGAACTGAATCTTTATTGTTTTCTTTATACATTTTTTTAATGAGCAGTCACTTTGCCCTACAGAAAGGCATTGTTGTTTACATGCCCACCATTTTTCTATCAGCACCACAATTAATTTTTAGTTTCTCAGTTTTGTTTCTCATTTCTTTCATTCATGCCTTTTCCCTGTTAGAAGGTTTAAATGAGTTCAACTGCACTTACATAATAAATTGTTTTATTTTGAAGTTATTAGGAAGCAAAGATTCTGTTGGTGAATATTTGCTAGGTTGTAGTTAAATTGTTGAGGGCTTGCATCTTAGAATTGTATCGTCATCATAAAGTGACTTTTCCTGGATTTTGATTTCTTACCAGATTGTGTGAAGGTGGGGAGCTTCTTGACAGAATTTTGTCAAGGTTAGATTTCTAATTTCTTTCCTTTAAATGTTCAACTTGATATAATCTTCTTATTTAATTGCATATTGCTTACTTCTATATTAGGGGAGGAAAGTATTCGGAGGAGGATGCCAAGGTTATAGTTTTACAGATCCTAAGTGTGGTTGCTTTTTGTCATCTTCAAGGTGTTGTGCACCGGGATTTGAAACCTGAGGTTTGTGCTTTAAATCATCATCTATATAATTTGTAACGATAACATCTAGTTCTGTTTTTAATATTACAATGATTAATTATATAAGAATAAGAATATTGATAATAATATTGATTCTTTGTGGAGTTTGCTTTTACAGAATTTCCTTTTCACTTCAAGAAGTGAAGATGCTGACATGAGGCTTATTGATTTTGGTCTTTCCGACTTCATCCGACCAGGTAATAATTGGAGTGATTCTCAATTTTCTTTTTCCATTTCCTTGCAAAAACAGACTCTTATGAATATATTTGAAGTATTAAATAGACAGTTGGCTACTATAAATGTACACTTCATTGGTGCTGTTTACCGTTGCTTAGTGCTCTTAAGTGACATCTTGTTGATTGTTGGAGCTATGGGGGATTTCTGTGTTAATTTGTTTAACCATGTTATTTTATCTACTGTCTTGAAAATACAAGAGATTTTATATCTCATCATTTTCAGTGTCATTTGGCTGGATTCTAATTTTCAGCCATTCACAACTCCAATACATTTTAGTCTTCATGAGATATGTATCAGTGTTACTTACCTCATCGAAGAATTACATCTGGGCATAAGTATCGAGAATTGAACACTTACATCCATTTTGTTGATTATGGAATTTCACACCTGACCATTCTGCCTCAGTAGGAGGATATAAGATGTCCTGTATTTAAATTGAATACATGAAACTAATTATTGTGTACTTTTGTAAATGCAGCTCATCCTTGGTTGAGGGATGACAGCCGCCCGATCCCTTTAGATATCTTAGTTTATAAACTAGTGAAGGCTTATCTTCATGCAACTCCATTCAAACGTGCAGCAGTGAAGGTATTATTTAATTCATTTCCTTGTATATGCTTATACTGAGTTTGACTTTCAAAATCCTTAAGTTTATTTGGATAAACTTTTCCATAAACAGTTATAGGAGAAGAAAAGAAAATCAAATAAGTTTCTCCAAAAAGTTGTAGTTCTCTCATATTAGCTCCTCTAAAACCTATTTTTAACTTGTGAAGAAATTAATTTTAGTTTATGAAAAAACTTATTTTATTTTTTCTTTTTATTTTCTTCTTTTTGAAGTGTTTATGGAGAATTTTATTTAAATATGCCCTTAATCTTGTTAATATTTACTACTATCTCTCACACATGTCTCTGCCAAATATATGCATTTTTATGCCATATTTTTTTCTCTAGTTTTACTTTGCAATTCTTCATCCTTCCCTTAACTGATATCAAGTGCATTTGCCTTCATAATGATATTTTCTCCACTGACTATGAAAAGATTCATCATGGTGTTTTGGTGTATGATATGACGACTTGTGAGCCAACTTAATGCTTATTATTTTAAAAAATAATGAAAAAAGAAAATGCGTGTTGTTTAACGTCTATTATAAATTGTGGTGTTGGTAAATCTAATGCTTTTTGGGAAATTAAAGATGTGTTCCTATTTTTTCAACAATCAACATAAAGTATCATCAATGTAAGCAATGTTTACTTGTTTAACATGTTTTTTATTTTTATTTTTATTTTTTACGAGTTTTGGAATTAGTTTGTTGTCTATTGAATATTGTTGTTTGTGCTAGATTTTGACTGATCTTTATGGCTTCTGTTTCCTAGGCCCTTTCAAAAGCCTTGCCAGAGCATGAATTGGCCTACCGTAGGGCACAATTCAGATTGTTGGAACCAAATAGAGACGGGCACATCTCCCTTGATAATTTCAAAATGGTTTTCTACCGTCGCTAATAAAATCCTTCAGTATTTATTTATATGTAGCTGATATAGAAAACTGTAGTTTTCACATTCACTACTCTTCGTAGTTCAAACCCAAGAAACCGGTAGTCTTGGGCCCTTTAACATATAGTTTCAAGATTCAGGGAAAAAACTGTTGGGATTCATCCCAAGTCCCACATCGGTAAAATGAAGGAACATTGGCTAGTTTATAAGTGTCCACCATTCCACATAGTATGAGGCCTTTTGGGAAGGAGCACAAAAACAAAACCGTGCGGGCTTGGGCCCAAAGCGGACAATATCATACTATGGTGGTGCAAAAGGTGGACAATCGGGCCCAACAAGTGGTATCAGAGCCAACGGTTCGTCTGGGTTTGATGCGGGAAGACCCTCAGTGTTGTGCCTCGCGATGGAGATTCGGTACAAGATGGTGACGGATTATCGCTTGAGGGGAGGAGATCACGAGACATGTGGTCCTTGGTCTGAGGGGAGGTTTGTTGGGATTCATCCCAAGTCCCACATCGGTAAAATGAAGGAACATTGGCTAGTTTATAAGTGTCCACCATTCCACATAGTATGAGGCCTTTTGGGAAGGAGCCCAAAAACAAAACCGTGCGGGCTTGGGCCCAAAGCGGACAATATCATACTATGGTGGTGCAAAAGGTGGACAATCGGGCCCAACAAAAACAGAAGAAAAAAAACATAGAGATTTAGAGATTTTTTGTTTAATTATTTTTTTTTCATTTTTCTTTCATGGTGGGGGAAAGAAAATTATGTGTACATGAATGTGTTAGCGAGTGAGTACAGGGAATGTGGGGTCGATTATATGCCAAATTGATCCTTCGCAAATGATATGTTCCTATGGGTCTTGATCCCATAAATATTCATTAATTTGTGAATGTTTTAAAAGATTACATATAGTCAAAATTAAAGCAGTTTGAATCCAAATTAGTCGTTTATTGTCGTCAATGATATATTTGTTTTTTTTTTTCTTCCACAGTAAAATAACTTATTATGTACATATCCTATTGTCGTATCTTATGATATTGGTATTTCATCCTTGGAAATACTTATAGTGAGTGCATTGGTTCAGGTACCAGATAGTTGGCCATATCAGGAGGCTCGTCAGCTTTTTAAAGAACCAGTGGTCATAACTGATGAAGAGGAACTTAATATTAAGTGGTCTGCTCCTGATGAAGAAGTAATTAGTATTCTGTTTGAGAACTTCAAATATCCTTTCAAATGCATGTGGATTCACATATACAGACATACATATATTTGTCCTATTTATATCTTCTGCATTTGATTAAGTATGGATAGTTTTTCATAGCTCATGCAATGGTAAATTTGGTCAAATTGGCAAAACCCTGTTTAATCATTGTCTGGCAGACTGGCACTTGACTTGTTTACTTTGTCCATCTGATTGATTTATATGTGCTTGTTTACGTGTTGCAACCCAAAATAGTGGTAAAATTCAGAAAGAATCTAAAAAAATAAATGAAGCTTTTTTTTTTTTTAATTTACTCTACATCGGTTTCCAGCAATGTAGATTTGTGAACACATCTACATTGGTTGTTGGTATAACCGATGTAGAATAGTGGTAAAATCTATATCAGTTTTACTTACAACCGATGTAGATTTGTACGCAAATTTACATCGGTTTTTCTGACAACTGATTTAGAAGTGTTTGTGTTTTCTAAATCGCTCTATTCTACATCGATTTTGTAACCGATGTAGATTACCTTCCAGAACCGATGTAAATAATACATCTTATAGTAGATTTTATGCCAGAACCTGGCATACATACCTAACTTATTCCAAAATAATTCAAAACCGCGGCTACTCTTTTGTGATCGGAATAGAAAATGACATATTAAGAAATCTATTGATTTGTCCAATTATTTCTGATTAAGTAAACTAATTAATTGGGACTATTATGGAACTATGATGAAGTAATAAGGGACTTTGGGTTGCTTGTGTCTTTCCCATCTTCATGGGATGCATTTTGTTGTAATTATTCATTAGTTGGCCATTATTAAGACATCAACAGATTTAGATATGCACAATGGTAATAGTCAAGAAAATGAAAGTCATCAACTATCCCAGTAACTAAGATTGGGCAATTGAGTATAAGACTCAGAAGAATACTACTCTTGTCATTTATTTATTTATCATTTTTTGTTTATTGTACTTTTTATTTTGTTTACAATTCTTTCTAGTACTACAACACAAATAGGTTTTAGCAACATTTGAAAAATGTTACTTAATTATGTTTAAATGTTACTAATTTACTTTAACAACATATTATCAAATGTTGTATATAGTTCATGTTGTTAAAGACTTTTAATAACATTTTTATATAATTAGGCAATATTTTTTAAATGTTAGCAAAGTAGTATTTTTGTAACATTTTAATGATGTTGCCAATATTTTGTTAATTTTATAAAATAATAATTAATTTTAATTTAGATATATTACTATCAATTATTATATTTTTATGTCTCTTAAACTCTTAGGAGTTCTTTGAGAGAAGATAGGCATTTTTAATTAACTATATGGTTATATATACTGTTTATGAGTCATTGATCTATTCGATGTGAGACTTTAATTATGGGTAATAATTAGAGATAAGAGAAATATTTTTTTTTACTCGATGTGGGATTTTGATTTTAGAAGTAATTATAGCAACATTTTAAAAAAAATGTTGCAAAATAATCTATGTGAAATTTTTTTACTTAATATGGAACTTTGATTTTGAAAATAATTTTAGAAAGAATAATATTGAAATAAAAATGTTACTCTATCTATAATGACATTTTTTTTTTTAAAATGTTGCAAAATAACCTATTTGTTTAATATATAATAACATTTTAACAAATGTAAATAAAAAAATGTTGCTAAAGAATTAAAATCTAGTAGTGTAGATTCTCCAAAGAACCTTTTAGGTTATACCTTTCCTCCGTTATATATAATTTAACTTATTTATTTATTTTAGCATATAGACACTTTGATACTTTGTATAGGTGTTTGAGTCATCTTTAATCTCATGAAATTTTTGTGAATGAAACGTATTTAAATCAAAGGTAGAATCTTTGTTTATGTTGTGGGTATAATGCGACTACACCAAATTTAAAACCTTTCTTATTATGATTAAATAATTCTTCTTATTCTCAAAGGTATAGGCTAATTTGTTTTTCTAATTTGAGTTCTAATGAAACAAGAATATTAGTATTTGGCTTAAAGGAGTAACAAGTGTTGAACAAAACAATTTCAAGTTGATTATTTAGCAAGTGACTAAGAAAATTAAAAATACCTTGATTGTGTGTCAACATCCAGATGAAATCATACAATTATAAGAATGATGCATAACCAATTGAATATAAAAGAATGTAGACACTCAATCATGTTATTTGTAGATCTTACTGATTAAGCTTTTTGATAAACAGAGACAATTTATGTCAATTTCCAATCTCTGAAAAATAAATACAAGCATTAACGATTATTT